CTGGGTTCTTCTTCTTACAGCTCTGAAATTGCTGAAGGGACAACCTTGTTTAGTAGTAAAAGCAACTCCAGTGTACGCACTAATCATCAGGGGAATAATTCCTCTTACAAGGGCAGAAGCAGAAGGAGTGATCTCTACTGTGATCATTGTCATCTCACAGGTCATACAAAAGCAGTTTGTTACAAGTTAATTGGATATCCTCCAGATTATAAATTCAAGAAGAAAACAGGGTCATATATCAAAGACGATGAAACTAGTAAGGGCAATCCTAATCCTAGTGATATTGGAAATCAGTTTGGGGGTCAATCTGCCAATTTTGCAGGATCTTCTCACATGTCTAAAGGTTCTACTGATGCATTTGGTGTTATTCCTCAATTTACTGAGCAACAATACAAACAGATCTTAACCATGCTTGATTCAGAAAAGTCTGAAGCTGATCATGTAGCCTCGACAACAGGTATGATCCCTCATAGGCTCATACTACTATCACTTCAGATGATGTTAAGTGGATAGTGGATTCTGGTGCTTGTAGTCATATGGTTAGTTCTGTTGAGCTGTTATCCCACACTACAACAGTAAACAAGAATGGTCTAGGCAAAGTTTATTTGCCTACTAGTAATGTAGTCAATGTAACTCACACAGGATCATCTTGTCTCTTTCCTGGTCAAGAGATAACCAATGTCATGCATATTCCTGAGTTCAAATACAATTTGTTGTCTGTTTCTCAACTGACAAAGGAGCTTCAGTGTGCTGTATTATTCTATCCTGATTTTCGTATTCTTCAGGATCTCTCAAGTGGCAAGGTGAAGGGGATTGGTAAAGAAGAAAATGGCTTGTATGTGTTCCAATCAGGTCATAAGAAAGCATTTACAGCAAATGTTGCTGCTGCAGCTACTAATGTTTGTTCTTCATCACTTGGAGTGTCTTCTGATAGCTATAGTATGAGTATGAATCTTTGGCACAAGAGGTTGGGTTACACCTCTTCTGTTACTATAAGCCAGTTGTTTGGTCCTACTTCTACACATTGGGACAAATGTATCAAGAGTTGTAATGTGTGTCCTTTAGCAAAACAAACTAGACTGTCTTTTCCATTAAGCACTACTACATCTGAGTGTTGTTTTCAATTTGTTCATGGTGATGTATGGGGTCCTTATAGAGTTCCTACTCATAATGGAAAAAAATACTTTCTTACACTTGTTGATGACTATTCTCGATATACTTGGTTGTTTCTACTACCTTCTAAAGCTGATGTTGTTGTTGTGATTAAGGAATTTCTGCTTATGGTTCAGACTATTTATTCTTCTGTAGTGAAGTGTCTTAGGACTGATAATGGGTGTGAGTTCTTTAACTCACAAATGAATGGATTGCTAAAGTCTTTTGGTACTGTTCATCAAAGTTCTTGCTCTTACAGTCCACAACAAAATGGAGTGGCAGAGAGGAAATATAGACACATTTTAGAAGTAGCAAGAACTATCAGATTTCAGGTTGGTGTACCATTGAAATTTTGGGGTTATTATGTGACCACTGCAGTATATATAATTAATAGACTGCCTTCTGCAATCATTCAAGATAAATCTCCTTTTGCGAGACTTCATAGACACTCACCTTCTCTAGCTCACATGAAAGTATTTGGCTGTTTGGGGTATGTAACTCAGGTGAGAAAGGTGGACAAATTTTCTCCAAGGGCTATTCCTGCAGTATTTCTTGGTTACTCGGTGTCAAAAAAGGGCTATACTATGTATGATTTGGAGTCCAAAGTATTTTTGACAAGTAGCGATGTCTTATTTCAGGAAGATTCTTTTCCTTTCAAGACAACTTCCATTTCTCCTTCTCATTTGTTTTCCCCGAAGGAAGATGAACTGCAGCCATCCTATATAGAGAATAATGCTTAGTCATCCTTCAATGTTCCTGCTCCTTCCTCTTCTGCATATGTTCCTTCTATGGATATTACTTCAATAGGTGATGCTTCTGTTTCTGAATCTTCAGCACTACAATCTCCAGCAGTACCTGTTAGTAGAAAATCTTCTAGGACTACTAAGCCTCCTATTTGGATGCATGACTATGTCCCACAAGCAAAGGAAGTGTAAATTGTTGTTATCCAGTATCTGATGTGGTTAGTTTTGATCACTTATCACCTGTGTTTAGGGCTGCTTTAGCATCTTATTCTGTCATCAAAGAACCTACTTCTTATACTGAGGCTATTAAAGATCCAAATTGGGTTGCTGCTATGCAATTTGAAATTCAAGCATTACAAGATAATAACACTTGGAGTTTAGTTGAACTACCAGCTGGAAAGAAACCTATTGGGTGTAAATGGGTGTTCAAAGTTAAATACACATCTTCTGGAGCTGTGGAAAGGTACAAGGCTCGACTTGTAGCAAAGAGTTATTGCCAACAAGAGGGGTTAGATTACACTGAGACCTTCTCTCCAATTGCTAAGATGGTTACTGTCAGGTCAGTTGTGGCTGTGGCAGCAGCTAAATATTGGTCTATTTTTCAAATGGATGTTCATAATGCTTTTCTTCAAGGAGATTTAGTGGAGGAAGTGTATTTGGAGGTTTCTTCTGGTTTTGGTAGCCAGGAGGGGAAGCATGTTATCTGCAAATTACATAAGTCTCTTTATGGACTCAAACAGGCACCTAGGCAATGGAATAAGCTTTCTTGGAATTGAATTTGTGAGATCACAAAAGGGAATAGTGATGAGCCAAAGGAAGTATGTATTGGAACTAATTAGTGAGTTGGGATTGAGTGGCACTAAACCAGTTAACACACCTTTGGAGACGAATCTAAAACTTACATCAGTTGACTATGATGATTTTATAACTAAGGAAGCAGGTTCTACAAATGAAGATATATTACTTGTTGATCCTACTCAATATCAACGGCTAGTAGGAAAGTTATTATATCTTACTATGACTAGAGTTGACATTGCACATGTAGTGCAAGTGCTAAGTCAATTCATGCACAGTCCCAAACAATCTCACATGAATGTTGCCTTAAGAGTAGTGAAATATATAAAAAATGCTCCAGGTCTTGGTCTTCTAATGCCCTCAGATAGTTCTGGAAAATTTGTAGCATATTGTGACTCTGACTGGGGTGGTTGTTTACAGACTAGGAGGTCTGTCACAGGATACTTAGTGAAGTTTGGCAATGCTATAGTGTCTTGGAAGTCAAAGAAACAAGAAACAGTAGCTAGAAGCTCTGCTGAAGCAGAGTTTAGAAGCATGGCTTCTGTTGTGGCTGAAGTAACTTGATTGATTGGTTTGTATAAAGAGTTGGGAATCAGTATTGAGGTTCCAATTTGTCTCTATTGTGATAGCAAAGCTGCTATTCAGATTGCAGCAAATCCCATTTTTCATGAAAGAACTAAGCACATTGACATTGATTGTCATTTTGTGAGAGACAAGATTATACAAGGTATTATCAAAACTCATTATGTTTCTACTAAGGAACAGCAGGCTGATCTATTAACCAAGAGTCTTGGCAGGCAACAACATGAACACTTAATGACCAAACTGTGCTTGAAGGATTTATTCAAATCATCAATTTGAGGGAGGATGTTAAATAAAAAGATATTTTCCATTAATTAGTTAGTTGTATCTTGTTAGTTATATTGTTAGAGAGGTAGTTAGAGTTTGTTAGAGTTGTTAATGAAATGTATAAATACAATATGTACAGATTGTTGAATACAAGTTGAATATACACAAACATTATATTTCCTCTCTTCTCTTCTCTTCTCTTCTCTTCTCTCATCTTGAAGGTCCTCACATGGTGAAGATCAAGGATCTTAACAGTGTCAAGTTAATATTATTGACGAAATAAAAAATAGTAAATAGTCAGGGGGTATATAAGCTATATGGATCTTTTATAGGTAAGTGCTCATTCATTTCAATCTTTGGTGATAGGTGATCGCCCAATATTGATATCATATATGATTAGGACAACCACATTTACAACCTATATCACCAACTCTCCCACTAAATAGGCCATTATATTTTGGCTTAACATAGTAGTAATTATATTAAGTTTGTCTAGTCTAATAGTTATGATTAAGACCTTGAATTTTATTATTGTTTTCCTCATTTTGTTTAATTTGTGGAAATTTTTGTATTCAAGAATTGTTTTAAATACAATTAACTTAAAAGTTTAGACGTAATTTATTTATTCTTCCTATAAAATGTAAAAGTATGTATCTGTTTTGTCACTACATGGACGTCCATAAGCCATGAGAGAGTAAAAGTGGTTGAACACAAGTCTTTCTGGTTAAGTTAAATTTTAAATTTTAAACATCACAATTTTAAATTCGTTACCCTCCACCGAATGAAGAGTTATAAACTAATAAAATCAATTATGGATCAATCCGTTTAACGAGGGATAAATTTGATAAAATTAATAAAAGAAAGATTATAACTTCATTTTAACGACAAAGATAAAATTTAAATAATAGATCAAAGTTGAAGGATATTTTTGACCCTCTTTCCCTTTATTTCTTCTTCCTATAAAATAAAGGCGTTATCAGTTTTCCTTTAATGAGTATCCGGTTTGTCACTTCATGGACGTCCATAAGCCATGAGACAATGAGTGGTTGAACGCAGTGTCTCTCTAGTTAAGTTAGATTTTAGTCTTTTCGACTTAACACATATGTCATTTAATTTGATCTAAATAAAATCAAATAAATAAAAAAACATGCATCCTCCTAAGCTACTTACTCAAATCATTGATGATACAGAAATGGGGCTGCATTTGGAAAATTAATATTAAATTAAGTCGATACAAGAATATATCGTAATGGTATCATATAGAAAATTAATAAATAATAAAGTTTTGTTTAATTGTTTTTCTTTTTGCATCTTTAACATATTAATTCTGTTAACATGACTTTCTTATTTGTAGCACACTTTTTATATATTTTACTCATGTCAAGAACCTCTTTTGCGTACCATACACACAGTGCACTTGAAATGGTGCTATTTCTTTTATATTATTATCCTCTCCAAAAAAAATGTCACTTGCTTGGCTCAGGAAGAAGAATAGAATGTGTATAGTTAAATAATAAAAGTATACTCTTAGATAAAATGGTCACACACCTCAATCAAAAGTTTCTCAAATGAAGAGTTATAAACTAATACAACACCATAAATAACCACTAGCAAAAAAAAAAGGAGGGGAAAGTCAAATATTTGAGAGAATGGGTAAATGCATTAAGGTTATTTGGGAGAATGGAGTCGGGTTATTGAGGTTTAAATAAGGAATATAATTTATTTTTTTTTTAAAATGAGATCAATTTGGGTCAATCCATCTAATGAGGGGTAAATTTGGTGAAATTAATAAAAGAAAGGATAAAATTAACTTCATTTTAATGATGAGGGTAAAATTTAAAAAAATAAATCAAAGTTAGAAGGATATTTTTGTCCCTCTTTCCCTTTATTTGTTCTTCCTATAATATAAAGGCGTCATCAGTTTTCCTTTAATGAGTATCCGGTTTGTCACTTCATGGACGTCCATAAGCCATGAGACAACGAGTGGTTGAACACAATGTCACTGTAGTTAAGTTAGATTTTAGACCTTCCCACTTTAACACATAAATATGTTATTTAGTTTGATCTGAATAAAATCGAATAAATAAATATATGCACTTACTCAAATCATAGATGATACAGAAATGGGGCTGCATTTGGAAAATTAATATAAAATTAAGTCGATACCTTCAACTCGGTGCACAAGAATATATCGTAATGGTATCATATAAAAAATTAATAAATAATCAAGTTTTGTTTAATTGTTTTACTTTTTGCATCTTTAACATATTAATTCTGTTAACATGACTTCCTTATTTGTTGCACACTTTTTTATATATTTTACTCATGTCGAGAACCTCTTTTGCTTACCCCACACACATTGCACTTGAAATGGTGCTATTTCTTTCCTTATCACAAAATAAGTCATCCTTTTCGACTTACAGCCATGAGCTAACACTTTTAAAATGGCAATCCAAACAGGCTCTTGCCAGTCAACAACGACGAATTGGTCGATGAAAGTTAGAAACATGGCAAGTTAAATTCACCAATATACATAATTCACGCAAGTAAAACGTCACTGATATAGAAATCCCCGATAGACGAAACATACGAGAGATCAAAGGGAGTATAGTACAGAGGTAGAAGAAATGTAACAATAAGTAAACAAGCACATCCAAGTCCTCCCATTGCTAAACTTCATTCATGTATAGAGGATTTTGCAGAAGAACAGAGATCCAAGGTGAACAACAGATCAAACTATGAGAGGAAAAAGTCTGGGGGAAAACGAGAAGACCAAAATCCATATATAAGATCATGAAAACCTGAAAGTTTCGACCCAATCCAAAAGTAAACAAACTGAAGGGGACGGGCAGACGCTTTACGTTGCACACAATCCTCATCGATTTTCGCATCAAATGAACAACATTCTTTTGCTAATCAACTGGAAAACAAGTAATCCACTACATCCTTCTCTTATCTTCTTCATGGCCAAACTCTCTTTCCTTTCACTCTCAAAACATCCTAGAAACTTCACACACAACCATTACAGATATGGCTTGGACACAACATCCTAGTTTTAAACTTTCTACAACCTCTATGTTTTACAGCAATAGATGCAAAACTCATTCTTATCAAAACAAAGAACCACAAAAAAAAGGAATCCCACTCAACCCAACACTACTCGCTCTAGTTGATTCTATCCCCATAACTTGTCACTCCATAAAAGATAACTAGTTCCAATTACTACTACAAATGGGGAGCAAGAAATGTCTATACAATGTCTATTTGATTTTAGTTGCAAATACTAAACTAAATAATTACTCAATTCAGACATCATAATAATATATGATACCAAAAGTTCTATACAACAAATTACTTGTGAATGTCTAATTGACAAAAGACAATGCAAGAGAATCACATTTGAATAGGCTAGTCTAATTAGTTCATAACAATCGAATCTATATCAGAACGACAACCAAGAGGATAATCTGTTAGAACATCAATTCTATTTGACATAGAATCACCTAACATCTGTTGAACTTAAGCAGCAGGCGCATAATTGACACAAACTCTGATAATAATGTCAAAACATTATCAATCATTTGAAAATGTCGAAGGCAGAGAGTCAAGGATCCAGAAAAAATTATACGCCAATTTGTTGTAAAAAGTATTTCAAACAATTCCAAGTTCAAATCTCCATTAACTAATCCAAAAACAGTAACTTTAACACAAAAAAAAGTAACTAACAACTCAAATCAAATCTAGGCGGTAAGAACAACAGCACCACCATTTTCCTTGATCTTCTTCTCTGCATTCTTTGAGACCAACTTAGCCTTAACAACAACAGGCTGTCCCGTAGGCAAAACACCTTTACCCAAAACCTTGAAATACCCAAATTGGGTAACATCAATCAACGGGGCAGTACCCTTATTGGCAGCAGCCTTGTCTTTCACCTCTTGAGGAAGGAGAGACCATAGAGTGTCGATGTTGACAGTAGGGCAATAGAATTTGTTACGAAGCTTGTGGAAATAACGCATACCTACTTTACCGAAGTAACCAGGATGGTACTTGTCGAAAAGGATCCTGTGATGGTGCATACCTCCGGCGTTACCTCTTCCTCCTGGATGCTTCCTGTGCTTTCCGATACGACCATGTCCGGCGCTGACGTGACCACGCTTCTTCCTGTTCTTCTTGAATCTGGTAGTCATTTTCTCCTCGGCTGCGGCGGCAAAATGGGGAAAAGGGAAAGTGCGGCAGTGAGAGAATGGTAAGTCTAGGGTTTTCAGACATTTATAGATGGAAGATCGATGGATTGGGCCCAATAGCAATTTTTGCCATTAGGGTTTTGACAGGGCTGTTAGTAGTTAGATATGGGCTTGGGTGAAATTTGGATAATTGTAGCGAGAATATGAAGGAGAGAGCGACTGACAAACAGTTTGCTATAGAATACAAATAAATTAAGCGGTAGCTATTTATTTATTTTATATTGTTAGTCTGTGATTGTATACAATTATCCCAATTTTTGTATTTGGTGGTAAATATAAGGGAAACTTTTACATATAGCCAGTTAAAAATAATTAATTACTCTCCATAGCTATAGTTTAATAATTACAATTCGTAATTACATGTTATATGGAGGAGAGAGGTGAGCGAGACTGGAAGAGAGAGGAGAGAGGCGAGAGGGGGGGGGGGAAGAGTGGGAGAAAGGTGAATATATTGGTTAGATAATTGTATAT